GGAAAGACAACTAAGCAGTGGTGGGTTCAGCACATACGCACAGTGAGAAATGCAGCATCTGCTGAAGTGTTTAGCCCATCTTTGTCACAGTAAGGTTCAACTTATAAAACTGGAGAGTTGGCATAGTGGTAGATGGGAGAGTGTTGCGTTTGTACAAACAACCAAAGTCAGACATGGTTTTAAATATAACTTTAATTAAACTGTTAACATCTATGCTTGTCTAGGATCAGGGCACAGATCATGACCACTTCTTTGTAAACAGGACAGTGGGACCTGTTCTAAGTTGGACATCAGGCAGCTGCAACGTCTATAGTTTTGTAGCTCTTCAGGTTCTGGAGTTGAAGGCAGGTAAGACATGCAGTGAGTCTTCTGGGCCCTGCTTGGATGGGGGTGAATGGGATTTGCAGCTCTTGACTGCTTTTAGGTTGCACAGAGCCCAACCTGAAAGGCAAGAAGGGATTAAACAGGCAGCGCACCTCTTTATATTTCTAGTTCCCAGGGCCCAGGCGATGCATTTGCTAGACAGGAGTATGGTGCCAAAAAAAGGAAAGAGGGGAAAAAAAAAAAGAGAAGGCTAGCAGAGTTACTTAAGCTACCACAACAGAACTGTGATCTGACAGTAGTTTGGGAGGGAGGTATGACCAGAGGGTCGAACTCCCCAGGGAGGCATCTGAGGTTACTTTGTCCTAATGCAGCTTCTTGAGATAAATGTTTGGGGTTTTTTTTCATGTGAAGGAGAACATGCTATTTTGGCTGACTCTTGGCTAAGTCAGGTTTGCCTTGTTCTTCAATGCTTAAAATTGTACCCAGGGACTGTCTTTATTGCTGACAGTAGGTAATGGGTGGAAGGATGTGTCACAAACAGTATAGTTTTACCCTGCTTATGGATGTCCAACGGGATAGCTAAAAAGCAGTTGATTTCTCAACGGCAAATAATTTTTAAGTTTCATAGCTCGTGCCAGTGACCTATAACTTGTCTCAGATAATGTGTATCTCTCCCTAAGTCTTGTGGTACTTTTGTTACCGTTTTTGTGAGTGGGGGGCTTTCTTTCTGCTGTCTATGCCTTTGGGGTTGAAGCTTTCACAAATGCCATACTGGCTTCAACTTATGTATTGCACATCTGTTGAAAGTTCTGTTATCTGGCTTTTCCCCTTTCCAGTGTGAAAATCTCATGTATTGTCTGTAAATAAAGGATGAGGTGCCTGGGGCTTTTATGCTGTAGCAGTTTCTTCCTACCATGTTTTGCATGTTTATTTTTGGGGAGAGCCTTTCCTGTGCAAGGGTTTCTCTAGCTTGTATTGTGTCTCTTTTTCCATTTACCATTTTTAGATCAATCACTTTGCATTTACCTGTACTTCCTTTGTCTGTAAATGAGCCCTCGCCCTGCCACCACTATCACACACTTCTCCAAGGATTCGGTGAGAGGGTTCAGGAGGCTGATCTTTGCTGTGCTTGGCTGATACTGTACCATGTTTCCTGGAAACTGTTGAAAGAAGGAAATGAGCTGAAACTGAGATGAGGAAGAAGATTCTTCTATGATTAAAGGGAGATAAATGATCTCTTTGTGCCAGAGGTCTCCGCTTGAGCTGCCAGAAGAGGCAAAGTGCAGCTTACTTTCTTCTCTACTGCAGTATGCTGCTGCAGTCCCCTTCTGCAGCCTCTGATTTCCAGACATGAGTGAGTTAGGAGGCATCAGGGTTTCCTTATGCTTGCACAGTGACAACGACATGGGAGTACTGTATACAACAGTGTAGCACAACTTGCCTTTCCCAAACTGATGTCTCAGTGCTTTGAAAGAAGACAGCATGAGGAGAGCTACTCAACCCAGCAGAATTTTTTTGCTGCTCATGACTTAAGCAAGCTGTTTTCTCACTACTGCAGTAACAGAACAATAGACCAGTCTGACCTCAATAGCGAGAGGGGGATCACAAATGCTGATCTCTTCCTGTGCGAAGTATATGTAGAAGGAGTCCTCATCTCTCAGCATAGCAGTCAGCCTAAGCAGATGGTTCTCTCCCAACTCTTTTCCATATTGTGAGTAAGGCACAAAGACTTGCAGGTTGTTAACTGCAATACAGAGTGGTAAAATAGAGATGACAATGCGAGTGATAAGTACAGTCTGGTCTTAGCCTGCATGGCAGCTGGGAGTGTTTAGTGCCCAACATTGTACTAAAAGCTGCAGCATTTAAAAGTTTAAGTGATCCCAACTGGATTTGCAGATTCAAAATCCCTAAGGTGGTGTTGCCGAGGTATTTTATTTCTATCACCTACAATCAGCTATTCAGACAGCCTTTTGTAAACTTGTGGCTAAGTGCATTTTTCCTGAAGTGAGAGGACTAGATATACTTTTGTAGCCGTGCACCCAGTAGAGTGCTTACCTTCATTGCTTCTGAGGGTAAAATGAAACTCTTCCTTCCAAAGTTGGGTAACGGGCACACCGTTATAATGTAGAGACTGGACCCCGACTACCAGGTGAGTCGCCTTTTCTCCACCACTGTGGTTAAACACTTCAATGGAAAGTGGAACATCTTGTCCCAGTGTCAGAGAACTCTGTGACTGGAGGTGGATGAAAAGGTTAACTGGCTCTTCAAGTGCAGCGGGAATGGAGCTAAACTGTGTTTTGCTGCTGCTGCTGGTCGTGTCAAGTTTCTTTATCTTTCTGTAGGCTTTGTCAAGTACTTCTTTTTCTTGAAGAGAACCTGTCACAAAAAAGGAAGTACATACTTTAGTATTCTTTCCTGTTTACCTGTGTGAAGCAGTAAAGGCAGAAGGATGGCACTGAATTATCCTGGCAGTACTGCAGATAACTGTTTCTAAGAGCATAGAGAGAGATCCTGTTGTGCTTCTGGTTGCAGCATTTCAAGAATTCCACCTGACAGGACATTAATTGTACCTGAAAGATTCTACTTGGAAAGATTTGTCATAGTTTTTAAAGCACCTTGGTGCTAACATCTGTCAGAGTAAAAGCTGCAGTTGCCTCTTTAACTATAGTAGCAGCTACGGCACAGGGTGACGTTCTCCTGTGATGGACTGCAGCCGAGGAGATGACATGTCATAGGCTATGCTGAGATGGCAGGGTTGGGTCAGGGAAACGGCACTCAGTAATAGATTCTGAAGGGGGAGCTGCTTTTTGAGGAAGGGATTTAGACAGTGTCTGAGAGCATGACAGTCCTTTTCAAAAAGATGGAGTCTGAAATATATTACGGGGTAATGGGAGGTGAATGTACAGAGTGTACAGGTAACAGAAATCAGGAAAGGTGGTTTTCCAGACAGGATGAAGAAACTCCTGGCCTTCTAGAGAGCTGGTTAGTGTCATTAAGCAGGATGTAATTTGGGGTATAACCCCAAATTGATTCTGTAGACAGCAAGAGTAAGGTCTTCTTGTGCCATTCAGGAAGGGAAGCAGGGAGAAGTGGATGACCCTGATGCTCTGGTATGGCTCTGCTCTCTAGTCCTTTACTCTTCACATGTAACACTGGCAGGGAACACGCTCAGCCACTTGCCTGCCCCGTACCTTCAGGATACTTGTAGTTGTGTGTGATATCCTCACAGCGTTCACTGCCCACGCTCTTGGTGCTGAGGTTGTTGCCAGTGTACTTTGTGCTACCGAGCGTTGGCTTGAGGGTGTCATCTGCATTTTGTATCCAGACCTGGCACTTGGCATTGATGGCAGCAAAGAAGTGGCAGACGTCATAATCAATGTCTGTGTCCCCTTCCTTGATGGCTCTAACAGGGGCTGGCCCACAGAAGGATGGACCTGAAGAGAAAATGTGGCCCAGTTAAGATACAGATGCTTTACCAACCAGACCCATGCCTAGTTTAGATCTACGCTGGGAGTGGTGAAGTATGTCGTTTAGGAGGACATTAGGGAGCAGTACTGTGATAGAGCTCTTAGAGCTACACAAGCTGCAGAAACCAGACAGATGAATGATGTTTTAGTGCTTAAAGTCAACAGGGTGAGTCCCTGTCCTTTTGTGTCCTTCTACTGGAAGTTGGGGGAGGGAGGAATATTGAACTGCTTTATTTACTCCCTGCTCCACTTTTCCCCACACCCCCCAAGCCCATCTTTGATATCTTACCTTTGCTTTTTTCCTGGCAGGTGGCATCCAGTGCCTGCCACCCACTGTACTCTGGTAGCAAGTCCGCTCGAGCCATCCAGCATTCATTCCAAACGTGGAAGGTCCTGCAAGAGACAATATCACGTGCTTATACCAAGGGACTGATCCCTGAGGTACGGTAAAGTTTTAGCTAAACCACAGCCAATTAATGCTCTGTTGAAAGAGCTCAGTGCATGTTGAGGAGAGCAGAGACCATGTTTTTTGATGTTTCTCCAGCTGGACTGGGCTATCATTCTTCCTTTGTGGGCCCTAGTAGTAGGGCGTGCTTCAGTTCGAGTTGTGGTAATTTCTAAAGAACAGGTCATGTAGACAGGATCTCAGCTGAGCTGTCTCCTATCCACCTCCCTGCAGCTGT